ACAAAAAACATTTTATATCACAATAAGAAGAGGAGAGAATCAACATTTTCCGGATCTACTTGGAGCCTAATGACCCCCCACGTAGATAAGTTGGATATCGCGGAAAGAAAGATTAACACGGCAACTAGAAAGGCATTAAAGCACTGCCTTTAAAAATCGTTATATAAGTTTTGATTCAACATATCAAAGGACCACAAAAATTCATTTTTTGTTAGAATATAACTAAGTTTAATTTTGGACCCTCTGGACCTTAATATGGACTTATTTGAAAACTGGTACTAAAATCAAAAATCTAAACAAACAGTTAGATTCAGCATATGAAAGAACCACACAAAGTTTAGTTTTGGACCCTTTTGACCTTAAAGGGGCACAAGCTACGAGATATATAAAAAATCTAAAATATGATTTTTTTTATCAATCATTAATGAAAGTGAAATAGTGAAATAATAATTCGCTTTTAGTAGCCAGTATGGTTCAATTTTATCAAAATAAGCTAAGAAACATTTATGATGAATTATTCACTTGCAAGTGAATAATTCGACCTCATTGAATCCGTATTCATGTGAAATTCGATTTAACCCCTTAGCTAGAGATGGATAATGCATGCATTGTGCGTGTTGAGTTATTTAAAGGAAAAGAATGTCAACATTAAAAGTGAAACAAAGGTAAATCATTTGATTGACTGATTCGATCCACAAAAATCATTCTTATACAGGTAAAAACGATGATTAATATATATTTTTAATCTATAATATGAAATTAAACAGACCTACAAAAATCCAATTGCACAAGTTCGCTTGATCTATTTATATCTATATTTATGTTTATATTGCTTATATGACCATCGGAAGTGTTTGGAGGTCAACTCGATAGTTAATTAGATGGCGTCTAGACTAAAATACACACGAAACGAAGCTACATATTATCAAGCCCCATGCCCTGTAAATTGTTTATTTTAGACTTTTTATAGTTTGGATAAATGTTTTACATTGTTATAAATCAAATATGAGAATTTGAGTGAAATAAGTGAACATGAATTTGACAGCTAGTGCTCCTTTATTGTGAAACAATTTGAAAATAGCTCAAGAGTAAAATTCTAGATATATTGTTAAATTCAGCATATCAAAGAACCCGAAAAATTCAATAATTGTTAACATCAGACTAAGTTTAATTTTGGACACTTTGGACCTTATTGTGGACCAATTTGAAAACCAGGCCCATGAGTAAATGAAAAAGTCTAGATATACGGTGGGATTCAGCTTATCAATGAATCCCAAGAAATCAATTATTGTTCAAATTAACATGATCAAACTAACTTTAGTTTTAGACTTTTACGTAGTCTAATTTGAAAATGATAAGTATTAAAAAAGTATTCTTTTTGGCTTCTTATTCCTATACAGTTAGAGCCATTACCCCCAAATCAATCCCAACCTTTCTGTTTTGGTATGACACCTTATGGTACAATTTCATAGAGATCCATAGACTTTTACTGAAGTTATTGTCAGGAAACCAGACATTCACTAGTTTTTGGCTCCTTTTTTATCCATAATTCCTAAAAATTTGGGACAAAAAATCCCAAAATCAATCCCAACCTTCCTTTTGTGGTATGAAATCTTGTGATATAATTTCATAGAGGTCCATAGAATAAAATTGAAAATGGAAACATGGAATGTGTCAAAAGATACAACAACCCGACCAAAGAGCAGAAAACAGCCCAAGGCCACCAATGGTTTTTGAACAGAGGGGAAAAAAACCCACACCCTGAGGCAGGCTTCAGCTGGCCCTTAAACAATTATATATACTAATTCAGCGAAAATGGACGTCACACTAAACTCCGAAACATAAATTCACCAAAATAAATTGGGAATGTGTCCAAGGGACACAGATGATGCCCTCGCTTGTATATAACGTTATAAAGGGACTCAAGAATGAAAAGTGACACAAACCAAATTCATACTTGATCTGAGTTTTGTGGTAATAAGCATTGTGTACAAGAGTCATAACATTTGATTGAGGCAAACTTAAGTTATAGAATGGAAGCAAAAAATTAGCAATTTTTCCATTTGTTAAGGGGCATAACTCTAGAAACGTAAAAGTGACGCCACTCTATTTCAACCTTGATGTGTGTTTTGTTATAATAAGCATTGCGTATAAGATTCATAACATTTGGTTGAGGCAAACGAAAGTAGAACGGAAACCAATTTTGGGACGTATGGACGGACATACAGACAAGGGTAAAACTCAATGCCACCTCCGCTACAGCGGGGGCATAATTAAAAAAACTTACATCACTAACAAATGTCAGAGGTTCCTGACTTGGGACAGGTATTCATTTATACTCAAGTATTATAATCGTCTGCAAACCGAATGTCTTCAGATGACGAAGATGACGAAGACATTGCAATATCATTAAACAAATTTGTCGTAGTGTGGAAGGGTGAAATTTCAATGGTTTGTATATATATATATTTAACTTTTAGGATTGTACTTTGATCTGTATGAAATTACTGTTTTGATAATAAAATATCCATTGGAACATATTTATTGGATCTGTTTACTTAATTACAGAATAGTATCTTATTTCAATAATAAAAGAATGAAGCATTCTGTTTTGTTTATCTTTATATGCTAATTAAGGTGATGACCTGAGTTCTGGTATGTGAACCCTTTAAATGTCTATTCATTGTATTGATGGTCAGTGTTGGTCACTTTGTCCATTCTCATTGGTAATTTAAATCACATGTATATTTGTGGAGGGAAATCTTTGTTCTTTAAAAAGTATTCCTTTTGATTTGTATTCAGCATGAAGGTAGACATTTTGAGATATACAAAATAATTTATATTCTGATGTCCATTGGAGACTTTATACTCAGCTACTGTTTACTTTGTCACCATATTCTTCATTGAGGTAGTTATGATAACTAACATATATTTAATTATCATTTATTTAATAATTCTAGTGTATTTGAGATGAGTGATTGATTGACTGACGATTAATACAGCTAAATTGATTAAATGGTTAAAAACTATAAAAGTATTAAAATTTAAATGAGTTATATTTAAAACCATTAAATATTAATATAAACTATCTGAATAGTATTTTTATCTTTAAACTAGTAAATATTAATTAAAAGTAGGATTTCATGTACAATCTGTGTATTTGTGTATTGTGCATTTTGGAGCACAATAGTTATAATCTTTATTTTATATTCAGGTGTTACCATGTTTTGATGAGTCATGTTTGATTCGATCCTATTGTTTTTACCTTTGCATCTAAGTGTGAGGTAAGCATTGAGTTTGGTTTTATATGTTTTTGCTATCAATGCTTATTATTTTGTTTGCTTATACTTAATTTTAATTGCTTTGCTTTTGCTTAACATTAGCCATTTAGTTTGTTTCATGTAGAATCTAGTTTTGCATGTAATTATATTTTCAAGACATTATTACATAATTGAATAGTTTGTAAAATCATTAAGCTATTTAATTCAATTAGATTACATTAACATATTTTGTTAGAATAATGAAATAGAGAAAAAGGTTCAGAACTAATGTATAATCTATTTTAATTGGAAATTCATTGAGTTCTCATTGTACTCATGCTATTATTCTTGAACCGTTGTTTATAATTTTATATTTCATTACAGGGTCTTTTTTGTTACCAATTATTTTCCACGTCGTAATAAGAAACGAATCCAAAACTTGAGAAGTGTTTTTATTTGTGTTCTACAAAACCCAGAAAAACCACCTGACTACAGTAGTATAAAAATAGGAAAAGTATGTCAGGTTTTTTGTTTTTTTTTCATATTCACTTATGATATCTTAGTGTTTTATTTTTGATAATACTTATTTTACTCTTTTTCCCAGAAAGTAAGTATTCTTTATATAAATTTTATTGACAAGTTTCTGCCTCCGATGTTTGTTAGGATGAATTCGTTTAATGTCTATAAATGATCAAATATAATTTCTTTCGTATATATTATCCCACCAAAGAGCACATGTTTGTCAACAAAGGTAAAGACACCAATTTTATCATGTGATCATCACATTGATGTGTTTGTAAGTTTACTACGTTTATTAATTAAATTTGGAAATATGTATTCAATTTAAGATACAGTCAATCATTAATATGATATTTACCATGGTTATATAAAGGTTTGCAATTTAAAAAGTGTCGATTTGGAAACCGGAACCACACATATACATATCTTTATTTGGCCTTTACTAATAGTATTTGAGAAATCTGAAATGAACCTTACCAGGAAAACTAAACATTGACCAATGAACCATAAAAATGAGGTAAAGATCAGATAAGTCCACCCCCTAAAATATGTTGACAGTGCCCTAAATACTACAATCTGACCAAGACTGCTATAACACAGTTTTAAAGTAGTTTCAGTTTGACCGAAACAGTCAAGACATGAAAAAGGCTTTCGGGGTACAACTGTAAACTATGACAAACGGCACACACTTTAACTATTCTTTGTCTATTGTCAGAATATTTTGAACTGAATGTTATTATGTGGTTTCATTACAATGACGAAGGTCCGAGATATAGTTGTAAACAATGCTACGGTGGAAACGAGAAACTTCTGTTCGCTGATGTTGTTCTCTATGGACATGATGGATACTCTCATTTCAATGAACAGCTTGCTTGAAATTTCTGTTCCGGGTGCACTTTCCAAAATTAGTAAGTAAACTTCTGATTGCTTAAAAAAATCACTTGAAAAATCCTTCAGAAGTGAAACTACATACGCATGGGTGTAAGATCTCTTATGAGGATAACGAAATCAGAGATATATATTTTAGCTAGATTGTCCCGGTCTTCAACGATTGGCGTATAACATGTATAATAAAAACATGGATAAAAATTTAAATTTTGTACAAACCTCTCCTTTTTTTTATAAAATATGTTTTCCTGTTTCAAATTTTGTTAAAAATACAAGTCAATTATCATGCTAATAAGTCTATAGGGTTATTTGTTGAAAAATTATACTAAATACCTCTTCTATTCCAGGGAACTGGATCCTCAGAAATAGATGTCAGCTTTTTCACATCCTCCTTTGTTTTTATCTGATCACTCTGAATCAAAGCTTGGGAAGTTTTCAATATATCACAATCTGATTTAACATTTTGTACATCTATTCTCATTTCCTTCTGATCAACTTCCAGCAACCCATGTGACTTTTTCAAACTATCGTGATCTAACTTTAATGATTTCACATCTTTTTTAACCCTTTTCCCATCCTTTATTGACACAGTTTGTTTCTTTTGTAGCAAATCATGAGATCTTTTCAAACTTTTATGGTCAGACTTTAGAGATCTTCTCAAACCTTTATGGTCAGACTTTAGAGATCTTCTCAAACTTTTATGGTCAGACTTAAGAGATCTTTTCAAACTTTTATGGTCAGACTTTAGAGATCCTTTGAAACTTTTATGGTCAGACTTTAGAGATCCTTTGAAACTTTTATGGTCAGACGTTAGAGATCTTTTCAAACTTTTATGGTCAGACTTTAACACCACTATGTCTTTTTTGGATACTGTTTGTTCAACTTGAAGCAAACTGTGTGATATTTTCAAACTATCATGATCTAAATGTAATGTTTTCACATCTTGTTTTGCTTTTATCTGATCAAATTGTAATGTTTTTAATTCTTTTTTAACCCTTTTTCCATCCTTTTTTGACACAGTTTGTTCATGTTGTAGCAAGTCATGAGATCTTTTCAAACTTTTATGGTCAGACTTTAACACCATTATGCCTTTTTTTGATTCTGTTAGAGGCAAATGACATGATTTTTTAAAACTCTCACGACCTGATTTTAATGTAATTATGTCTTTTTTTATCTTGGTATGGTCAGCTTTAATCAAATCAAGCGACCTTTCAATTGTTTCAATGTCTTTCTTGGCTTGTAAGATTTCTTGACTGGACGCGTCAAGTTGTTTTGTAATTAGCTGATCACATTCTTGCTTCATTTTATTTCCTCCTAATCTAAGAACAGCCTGGAAAAGTTTACAAAATCAGTTGTATTAATATTAAAACAAGGAATTATTTGATTCTGGAATAATTTTGAATTCTAGAAAATTGATAACAAATGTTGGATGAAAACTAACTCAACTAAATAACGTTAGCCATGCGTGCATGACTAAGGTTCATTGTACTTTCAACAAGGAATTATTTGGATCTGGATTAATTTTGAATTCTGGAAAATGAATAAGAAATTTATGTTGAAAACTAACCCAATTTAGGTTTAGTCATGCACTCATGGATAAGGGGGTTAGTTTATAATGAAATATCAGTGAAAGTAAAATTAACCTTAGCCATGCGTGCATGGCTAACCCGTGCATGGCTTGCCCACTTTAGTTTGTTTAGTTTTCATCATACATTTCTATTTCTGACCAATTTTCCAGAATTCAAAATTTTTCCAGATTTAAATAATTCCTTGTTTTTCACTGATATTTCAGTATGAACTATCTAACCATCCTAAACATGCTAAACCTTGTTAGTTTTCATCATACACTTGTTAATTTTCCAAAATTCAGAATTATATATCCCAGATTTAAATAATTCCTTGTTTTCATGCATCTCTCTATTTAATAATAACAAGCTTTCTACTGTAGATATCTGTCTATTGTTGAAGATTGCATATAACCATCTATATCTGTATACAAATGTATATGTATTTTGGAATAGTTTGTAATTGCGTTTTGTGAACTTGTGTCTCATTGACATATATCCCAGATCTCTTTTTATTCATTTATTACACCTAACAAAATTAGACAGATAAAGTAATTTTAACTTTCATATACATGTTACACAAAAGAGAGGCGAAAGATACAAAAGGGACATTCAAACTCATAAGTCGAAAATAATTGACAACGCCATGACTAATAATGAAAATCAGACAAAGAACAATACACAAAACGCAACATATAAAACTAAAGACTAATTTCTCCCTACATCTTGTATATCATTGTATGTTTATTTATGTAATTAAGCCCTCCTCGTTTGACAACTTTTTTTATGCAGCTAATCATTGTTTATTTATTTCAGAAATTAAGAAACAATGTAAATATTAAATATTTGATCATATATATTTCATTGTTTAAATCGAGTGAGACACTTTTTTAGTTTACATTTGCTCCCCTGTGTTTACAGTGAGGTGGCTCAATGTTTGAAAATCCATCTGAAACAAAAGCAAGATTTGATTTATATTGATCGTCTTTGGTGATCAAATAAACAAGAGTATCCTGAAAAAATTTAAAACAGGAAGTAGGTAGATATTGATATTTTGAGCATTTTTGCCCTGTCAGACTTTATCTATTATAATTTTTTCGGGATAACAGACAATTAATGCATCATCCTAATGTTTTATTTTTGTTTTTACTTTGCCATGTTAATTGACTAAAAGGGAAAAAACACAAACTTTATACTAGATACCTGGGATCTTTCACACACATTTTGGCTGAAATTGGGACAGTAGTTTCAGGGAACATCTTTGTAAAAGTTAACAAATACAATGAAGGACTCCAAGTGATAACAACAGTGTTTTAGTTCTAACATGTCTAAGATTTTACTTAAATTACTTATATCCTTCCAAACTGAAGTAAATAATGTGCAATCTACCGTGCCATCATGATGATGAGCCATGCTGGATCTAAAGCGTTTAATTCTAGGTTTAACTTACAATACTTATATCCTACAATGCCATCTATATTGCCATCATGAAGATGTGCCAGGATGTTTTATAGTTTTTAATTCTAGGTTTTACTTACATTACTTGTACCATTCAAAGCTGTAGTAAATAATGTGCCATCTACTTTGCTATATGATGGTTCTATAGTGTTTAGTTATAGGTTTTAATAACACCACTTGTGTCCTTAAAAGTCATAGTAAATAATGTGCCATAGATCAACCATGTCTACCTTGCCATCATGAAAATGTGCCAGTAAGTTTCTATAGTGTTTAGTTCCAGGATTTACTTACATCACTTAAATCCTTCCATGCTGTAGTAAATAATGTACCATCTACCTTGCTATCATGAAGATGTGCCAGTAAGTTTCTATAGTGTTTAATTCTTGCTAAATCTGAGGCAGGTATTGCTTCTGTAGTAACAGGTAGATTGTCATACCCATTTACTGGAGGAACCAAGGTTGATGTTGGCAGGTTCCTAAGCAAAGCTATCATCAATGTCACATCAAAAGTCTTAGAATCTGTGGTGCCTGGTAACAACAAAAAAATCTTTAAGAGATGACTGTTAAATTTTCCAAAACTTTTAGAATCATATTTTAGATAGACCATGATCATGACATAATCAAACATCAGATTAAGTTTTCATACTTTGCCAAAATGTAAATTACGATTCTGCCTTTTAAAAAATACTAAAATTTAATGCTATTGCTATCATGGCTATGTAAAAATTTTGTTATTTGAGTTTAGATCCGATTACTATTTAAAATTATTCAAAACACTAAGGGTTTTCTACAACCAGGCATATAAATATAAAAATAAGAAAGTGTGGTATGATTGCCAATGAGACAACTCTACATAAGAGACCATATTATGATGAAGGTTAGCAACTATAGGTTACCGTGCTGACTTTGATCAATGAGCAAAATCCATACCAAATAGAGAAAACTAACGGCCTGAACACAGGTTAAACATGTTTGTGGGAATGTGGGCGCGCCAACTCTCCCTTAACCCGGGGATTGCCATAACCATATTTGGCTCAACGTTTCAGACATTTTGGTTTTTAGTTTTCTTCATCTTTCTATTTTATTTGGCTTTTCAAGTGTTTTGATTTGAGTGCCACTAATAAGTCTTATCATGCTTATGTAGACAAAACCTCTGTCTGTCATATCAAATTATTAACAATGTGGTCAATGCCACTGCTAATGCACATTTCTTCCCCAAATGTATCACCAGCCCAGTAGTCAGAACTGTTTTAAATTGTGTTGTCATGAAATATCTTTGATATGCTAATTTTCTGTAAATTATCTGTTTATCAAATGTTGAATTTTCTGAAACACTAAATAAAGGCAACATAGGTATACCACTGTTCAAAAGTCATAAATCGATTAAGCAAAATCCGGGTAACAAACTAAAACCGAGGGAAACACATCAACTATAAGAGGAAAACAATGAAATAACAGAACACAGAAGTCCAAAAAAAAAAAAAACAACAATGCAACATTCATAGAAACGAAATATTAGATAACAACTGCCATATTCCTGACTTGGTACAGGACACTAAGGTGTTTTTAGCACCAGGCGTGGATTGCCATTAGCTGTATTGGGCACAACTTCTCAGAATTTTAGGTTTTTACTGCTCTCCAACTTTGTACTTGATTTTGCCTCCAACTGTTTTGATATGAGCGCCACTGGTGAATCTTTTTAGACAAAGCATGCATCTGGCATACCAAACTATTAGGCCATAATCTAGCCTGTGAAATGACAATTTCAGTTGCTAAAAAATTTTGAAATTGCTAAACTCGCCGGCCAACTGACTTCATTTTTTTGCATTTGCACAAGGTCATGCTTTTCTCTGACTGTTAATGACCTCTTTACACTAAATCCATTGGATGTTTAATGTGAAATGATTGATATTTTAGTCTTAGATACATGATTCTTTTATTAGTTGTTACTGGAACTGCATTAGCTTTAAGAAACTGGGAGTGCTGTCAGATCTGTACTTTGTGTCTTTTGTGATTTTATTAGGTTTTTTTTGTGCTTTGTATCGATCTCATCTGAGTTAAGATGATGATGGATGGCTGTTTAACGTCCAGCAGCAAATTAATATGCATATATTAATAATAGGACGAGAACATGTTAATATAATATGAATATTAACCCTACTTTGTACTAGACCGACAAGCTGATACAGATTTTTTACCATGCAAGTTCACAAGGTAACAGTCCACATGCAGGAAGACATGTCACCTTACCCGGACACATTATTCTGATTTCAAGCTGACCAGTCAGTGTTTTCTCCTTAATGCCGCATGTTTAGCGGAGAAGCATCACATACCAATTTTAAAGTCTTTGATTTGACCCGACTGGGGTTCGAACCCACAACCTCCCGCACTCAAGGAGAACACACTACCACAAGACCACCGAGGAGGTTCTCATCTGAGTTAAGCCCTTTTCAACTGATTTTTATTGTGTGCTCTAATGTTGTACTGTTACACCTCCGTACCAGGTTAAGGTGAGGGTTCAGCGCCAGTAAACATGTTTAACCCGCCTTTTCCCAAGTCAGGACCCAGTAGCTCAGTGGTTGTCGCTTGTTGCTGTATATCAAATATTGTTTTTTTGTTAATGGTTTTGTACATAAACATGATAAATCAGGCCGTCAGTTTTTATCTGAATTGTAAAATATTTGTTTTTTTTTTTTTTTTTTTGGGGGGGGGGGGGGGGGGGGGTCTTTTATAGCTTACTATACGGTATGGGTTTTTGCTCATTATTGAAGGCCATCGGTGACCTAAATTTGTTAATGTCTTTATCATTTGGTCTCTGGTGAAAAGATGTCTCATTGGCAATAACAACACAAAATCTTATTTTTAAACAGGAGATCCCATTGTACCTGCTTTGTTACATATATATATATATATATATATATACTTCCTTCTGCGAGTAACCAGGAGACACAAATTTGACCATATTGCAGCCAAGCTACTGGTAGGAAACAATTGTACCTAGTATATAATAAATACTTTCTACTGCTAGGAAACAAGAGATCTCACTGTACCTAGTATATAATAAATACTTTCTACTGCTAGGAAACAAGAGATCTCACTGTACCTAGTGGATTACATATATACTTAGCACTGCTAGGGAACACGACATATCTCTGTACCAGGTTAATTACATTGACTTACCACTGGTAGAAAACAGGAGATCACACTCTACCAGGTTAATTACATTTACTTACTTCTGCTTAGAAATAGGAGACCCCACTGTGTCTGGTTAATTACATTTAAGTAAACACTGCTAGGAAACAAGAGATCCCACTATGCCAGCTGGTTAATTACATTAAATTACCACTGCTAGGAAACAGCAGATCCTACTGTGGCTGGTTAATTACATTTACTTACCACTGCTAGGAAAAAGGAGATCCCATGGTGCCTGGTTAATTACATTTACTTACCACTGCTAGGAAACACGAGATCCCACTGTGCCTGGTTAATTACATTTACTTACCACTGCTTGGAAACAGGAGATCCCACTGTGCCTGGTTAATTACATTTACTTACCACTGGTAGGAAACAGGAGATCCCACTGTGACTGGTTAATTACATTTATTTACCACTGCTTGGAAACAGGAGATCCCACTGTGCCTGGTTAATAACATTTACTTACTACTGCTAGAAAACAGGAGATACCACTGTGCCTGGTTAATTACATTTACTTACCACTGGTAGGAAACAGGAGATCCCACTGTGCCTGGTTAATTACATTTACTTACCACAGGTAGCTAGAAAACAGGAGATCCCACTTGCCTGGTTAATTACATTTACTTACTACTGGTAGGAAACAGGAGATCCCACTGTGCCTGGTTAATTACATTTACTTACCACTGCTAGGAAACACGAGATCCCATTGTGCCTGGTTAATTACATTTACTTACCACTGGTAGGAAACAGGAGATCCCACTGTGCCTGGTTAATTACATTTACTTACCACTGCTTGAAATCAGGAGATCCCACTGTGCCTGGTTAATTACATTTACTTACCACTGGTAGGAAACAGGAGATACCACTGTGCCTGGTTAATTACATTTACTTACCACTGCTAGGAAACAGGAGATCCCACTGTGCCTGGTTAATTACATTTACTTACCATTGCTAGGAAACAGGAGATCCCACTGTGTCTGGTTAATTACATTTACTTACCACTGCTAGGAAACAGGAGATCCCCACTATTCCTGGTTAATTACATTTACTTACCACTGCTAGGAAACAGGAGATCCCACTGTGCCTGGTTAATTACATTCACTTACCACTGCTAGGAAACAGGAGATCCCACTGTGACTGGTTAATTACATTTATTTACCACTGCTTGGAAACAGGAGATCCCACTGTGCCTGGTTAATAACATTTACTTACTACTGCTAGAAAACAGGAGATACCACTGTGCCTGGTTAATTACATTTACTTACCACTGGTAGGAAACAGGAGATCCCACTGTGCCTGGTTAATTACATTTACTTACCACAGGTAGCTAGAAAACAGGAGATCCCACTTGCCTGGTTAATTACATTTACTTACTACTGGTAGGAAACAGGAGATCCCACTGTGCCTGGTTAATTACATTTACTTACCACTGCTAGGAAACACGAGATCCCATTGTGCCTGGTTAATTACATTTACTTACCACTGGTAGGAAACAGGAGATCCCACTGTGCCTGGTTAATTACATTTACTTACCACTGCTTGAAATCAGGAGATCCCACTGTGCCTGGTTAATTACATTTACTTACCACTGGTAGGAAACAGGAGATACCACTGTGCCTGGTTAATTACATTTACTTACCACTGCTAGGAAACAGGAGATCCCACTGTGCCTGGTTAATTACATTTACTTACCATTGCTAGGAAACAGGAGATCCCACTGTGTCTGGTTAATTACATTTACTTACCACTGCTAGGAAACAGGAGATCCCCACTATTCCTGGTTAATTACATTTACTTACCACTGCTAGGAAACAGGAGATCCCACTGTGCCTGGTTAATTACATTCACTTACCACTGCTAGGAAACAGGAGATCATACTGTGCTTGGTTAAATACATTTACTTACCACTGCTTGGAAATAGGAGATCCCACAGTGACTGGTTAATTACATTTACTTACCACTGGTAGGAAACAGGAGATCCCACTGTTTCTTGTTAATCACTTTTCTTCTTTTCAAGTTATTCAGCGTTGCCTTAGTAGTCGTAGTGTTTATCGATGAACTGAGAGATGCTGGAGGAAATTCTTTATCAAACAGGACACGAACAGCACGTGGAGAAATTCCAGTGAGTAACAATGCCATTCGTACATAGTTTTCCTCTTCTGGTGAGAGAGCATTAGATGCCATCTTGGTCGCTTTTGAATATGTCAGGATTATAGTTACTTAAATCTTGGGATCATATTACAGACTGTAATCAAAATAAGAGTTGGTCTTTAGAAACTTCTTCTCAATTGCATGTTCGGTCCTTTATTTTACTGCTTTTAAAACTTTTGGAATTTCAATTAGATTTGGACCTATCAGATACTGCAGTTTCTGTTTCACATGTTTTTAAAACCAAAGCAGATTGTTATGTTGGTATCAATATCTTCCTCCATGACTACACTAAGTTCTCTCAGTAGTTATTGAGCCCTGGAAGAACAAAATAAGATGATCACACTTAAATATCGTCCCTGAAAAATTAAATGACCGAGAGTCACAAGCATACCGTTCAGTCACAGATATGTGATGTATATTTTTAAAAGTCATTTATTTGAGTCACTAAAATTCAATAAATTCACATTTTCATTTCTTGTCTGTATGCCAGGCCATTAGAAAATCTGCATTTTTGTAAATACTTATGAATAACATATCTTTAGAAGTCTCATTTTTTTTTAAATTGTAGAAAAACATATATATATTTTGCACTTATTTTATACGCTAGTATCAGTGAAGTGACGTCAATGCGGTGTTTAATCAGATGGTAAGTACAATAACAAATTTCGACTGAAATTGACATTATGACCGATTACAGACTACATTAGGATAGTGATTTGGTCCACTTAAAAAAGGTAAAAATTAGTCCGTCTTAAGCTGTCGTAGTGAATTATAGACCCCCTTAATATCAAAATGTCCATATTTTGAGTTAGAGCTGGTAGACTTTTCCATAATTTTGATATTATTTGTCCCAAAAGTAGTACACTACAGTGTAAAAATCTTATTGAGATAGAGAAGGTGCGATTTTTTTTAAAGTTTAATTTATTGTCTAAACGTCTAAAAGAAATGCACTACGAAATAACTGTGTTCTTGGGCCTTGTGTGTTGAATCAAAAATGTTATCCTTATATGTCAACCTATGAAAATGAAAATGCAGGTCACCATATAATTTTTTAATAATTTATTCAATCTTTCAAAACATATAGATGAACCAAAATTAAAAAAATATACAAGACCAACAAAGACTAGAGGTTCCTGACTTAGGACAGACGCAAAAATGCGGCGGGGTTAAACAGGTTTTATGAGCGCTCAACCTTCCCCCTTCACCTCTAGGAAATGTAGACATATATAACTTAAATGTCCACAATTTTGAGTCAGTGTCACTGCCAAAGAATAAATTTTGGGGTCCCTAACAAATATTGCCTCTGCAGCTGCCCCAAAGAGCCCACTCTTAACGAAATCTGCAGAAGGGGTCTTTTACATATATGTACTACAGTTTAGTTGCTATCTCCCTTTATGTTTAATATAACGGTGCTAGCTATGAAATTTAATAATATTTACTACAAGCCATCCGCTGTATTTCAAAAGGCTATCTGTTTCTTCAGAAATTAACCCATTTCTCTGACGTCAGTCTATTGTTCTTACAGTAGATTATTTTTCAAGAATCCACTGACCACTTCGTTTACTTAAGATAACTTATTTTCTAACTTTAAACTTTTAACTTACGATTTTTTATCCTTTCAAAAACGAGAGGCATATGAAGGATTCGAACTCGCGCTTATTTTCTTCATAATCAGTAGAGTCTTCAGTCTATGCATGATACCACTATACCACGAGTGCTGACATAAATCAATATTTCAATAACACTCTTAAAGCGCACAACTGTCAATACATGTCAATAAACTGTATTTCTATCTCAGAGATTAAATTCGCTTTTGTTATCTAATAAAATATTTATACTATGTCTGGATTTGTTCATGTTCTTTTCAAATTTATGTAAATTGTTTTATGCGTTATTTTTTAAGGAAGATTATGTTCTACATTTGAACGTTCTTGAGTATAGTTATATAGCAGTATGGAAATATCTTAAAAAAGAGTTTATTCACGATGTCAGGTTTGAACATTGGTCGATTTTCAACATCGTTATAATGAACCGATGGGTCTTTATATGATTGTGGCTATTACACACTAGTTCTAAACACTAGAGAATCGAGGAATTGTATATATTAGTACAGTTCCTTGATAAAATAAACAACCATATGCCCATTACACATGTCACTTTTAACGTACAAGGACTTTTCCTTTTCATCATAGCAAATGCTTACTTAAGGTTTTAGTCTTATAATGATATCGAACTATCAATATTTTCTTCTTTGTTTGATTATAAATGGTCCAAATATACATCACGTCAACATTGAATGTACTCTAATTTGAATAAAGTGTGATATATAAGCTACGACCGTAAAACTACTTCCTTGACTGTAAAACCAGAAACAAATCATCGCCTTAAAATGAATATGAAGTATATAATACCTCTAAGATTAAAACAATATTTTTGTCGAGAAAAAAATTGCAATGAAAAATTTCAATTCGGGTACAAGGTTTGAACTTGGCACTGCTAATATCACAGTTGTGTCTTTTGATACCAACGACCAGACGATCACGGCTATGAACAGCTTGAATGTAGTAGTAAAAAATTGACATAATTATACATTGTACATCTGTAGCACGAGCAATTCTGCTGGAGATTTAGAATGCGTACCACAGAAAATACTAGTTTATTGACTGGTTTACGATGGATGCCAAATGTAATAACGTTAAAATAATCTAAACTTAATAAAAGGGAAACAGTTTAAACAAAATACATGTATAATTTTCAAAAAAGACCTTCAGCAATTATTTTATTTATTTCGGAAAGCATCATTTACTGGAGCATCATAAAATTGTAGTATTATGGCAACTACGCTAAATACATGTATTTGACTTAATACGGTTAAATTGCAGGCAATCCTTAATCAGCTGTAAAGAATCATAGATTGCTAAATACTATATATGTAAATTTGAAAGGTTTCTAAATTTTGGTAATTAGATTTTTTTAACTATTCAAAAAAAGATTAAAAAATTCTGTATATTTATATGTCTTTTTGAATAAATCATAAATACCAAAATCTATATAATTTAAATACTTTGTAATGATAAAACATTAAATGAAATATAAATATACAAGTATTAAATCTGGTAATAAAAAGGGGAGCTAACAACCCATTTAAGTTATATCAAACTTATGTTAACTTAAATATAGACGTGAACCGTTTGGATATAATCATTTCCAGCTATTTTAGAATAAAAAAGACAAAATACGAAATCATTTTTATGAAATTCCGTTGATTCATTGTCAAAACATAAAACAGACAGTCTTTTTACTAGAAATGGGTTAAGCTAGAGAATTGATAAGAAGTAGTGGATTCGTAAACGATAATCAACTTGCGACTAAAGTCGCTCGTTGATTATCGTTTACGAATCCACTACTTCTTATCAATTCTCTACTACATAACCATACTTTGAGTAATGATTATGTAAGCAATCCATTCATTTTTTTTACACAGGACTCAGATGAAGTCCAAACAACAAAGAAAATCAACAATACTGTATACAATTCTATAAGCAATCATCATTCAAAAATGTTAAAAAGGTACACCAATCAAAGTGATGGAAATCACTCATGGAAAGATTGGAAGAGTAGTTTGAATAATTTCAAATCATATTTAGATATGGTGTGGACAAAAAAGAACATTAATAAAGCTACATGTTTCCCCTTTTACATTTAATCTTTTGAAACAAAATAAAATGCTCCGCTGGGCGCAGCTTGATACGACCGCAGAGGTCGAACCCTGAACAGTTGGTGCAAGTATGGACACAACATTCAAGCTTGATACAGCACTGAATTTGGATTGTGATTAAATATTTGACACAGCATAGGTTTCTGACACAGAATGAATGTGGTCTAAGAACTTAAAAAAACCTAATTTACCTATTCAAACCATATATTATTATTTGCTTTTAAATATAAATCAGAAATAATCAACTTAAAATGGAAAATTTAAAAAAAAAAAAGGAAAACCCCCCCAAATTTTTTGAACCCCCTTATGATTCTTCACCCCCAAACTCAAGCCCAGCCTTCCCTTTGTGGTATGGTACTTTGCAGTACAATTTTAGAGAGATCCATACACTTGAACACAAGTTATTGTCTGGAAACTAGAAAAATGCTTGTTTTTTTGGCCCCTTTTTGGCCTCAAATTCCTAAACGTTTAGGGCAATTACCCCGAAACTCAAACCCAGCTTTCCCTTTAAGATATGGAACCTTGTAGTACAATTTCATAAAGATCCATACACTTACACACAAGTTATTGTCCTGAAACTAGAAAAATGCTTTTTTTTTTGCCCCTTTTTGGCCCCTTATTCCTAAAATTTTGAGGCAATTACCCCCAAAATCAATCCCAGCCTTCCCTTTGTGGTATGGTACCTTGCAGTACAATTTCAGAGAGATCCATACACTTGAACACAAGTTATTGTCTGGAAACTAGAAAAATGCTTATTTTTGGCCCCGTATTCCTAAACGTTTTTGGGCTATTACCCCCAAACTCAATTCCAGCTTTCTCATTGTGATATGGAACATTGTAGTACAATTTCAGAAAGATCCATACACTTACACACAAGTTATTGTCCTGAAACTAGAAAAATGCTTGTTTTTTTCCCCTTTTTGGCCCCTTATTCCTAAAATTTTGAGGCAATTACCCCCCAAAATCAATCCCAGCATTCCCTTCGTGATATGGAACCTTGTGGTACAATGTCAGAGAGATCCATACACTAACACACAAGTTACTGTCTGGAAGTTACAAAAATGCTTATTTTTGGCCCCTAATTCCTTAACTGTTGGTACTATAACCCCCAAAATCAATCCCAACCTTCCTTTTGTGGTATTGAACCTTATGGTAAAATTTCATAGAGATCCATTCACTTAAACTAAAGTTATTGTGCGAAAACCAATGTGTCATCGGACGACGACGACGACGACGCCAACGTCATACCAATATACAAGGTCGTATAACAAAACTCTTCTAATAAAGTTTATCAATTATCCTTGTATGACATAGGACCAACAGATAGACTTGAAGCAAAAAAATTATCTAAAAAGGTTGTTTTGCGGCATTTTGTAAGTTGAAACATAGGTATACTATTTTTCTCCTCTGAGAATTGCTTATTGGTTTTGAAAACAATTATCATGATTATATGACATTGAAGATTAAAAGTTGTAGAGTGTATTTTAATCAATTAATAATTTAAATATTTTTCAGCAAAGGGCATTGAAAATGTACTTTTTCAACTCAAATAAAATGCTCTGCTGGGCGCAGCTTGATACGACCGCAGAGGTCGAAC